GTAGTAGTAGTAGTAGTGGTGGTAGTAGTAGTAGTAGTAGTAGTAGTAGTAGTAGTAGTAGTAGTAGTAGTAGTAGTAGTAGTAGTTAGTAGTAGTAGTAGTAGTAGTAGTAGTAGTTGGTAGTAGTAGTTAGTAGGTAATTGCGGTTATTAAGTGCAAGCTCCGCCCCGGTAATGATTGAAGCGTTGCAAGCTACCCGCGATAATATCCCAAAACCAAAGGTGATATTATTTTCAGACGCTTTTGGAACCATGATTTCGATGAATGTAGGGCTAGAGGAATGCAGTTTTGCAAAATACGTTGGGGTGAGGGAAGGGAGGGGAAGGGGCAGGCAGAAAAACGGCTTAGCCTGCCTCCGAAATGCACTTTAAACGGTTTTCTCCCCAGATTTAACGCGCTTTCTTTTCAGAGTCGGGAGCAAGGGTGTCGTTGCTCAAAATAAGCTATTTTGAAGATTTTATCCGAACTATTTGAATGGATGGATTTCCGGGATCAGAGCTCACGCTAAGCAGTGCTTGTTGTGTAAGCCCTGACCCCTACCACCCGATCGCGCAATTCCATGTCAACGGAAGAATTTGGTGGCGAAAGCTTAACGTGCCGCAATGCTCGGCACAGTCCGTGCTACTGTCTGACGTCAACTGACCTTTAGCGCGACCGCTGCCACCGGCCCCAGGCCATAGTTGTCAAGGGCGTATAGCGAGCCCCCTAAAGCGACTCGAACCCACCCCGCCACGGCTGGGTGGATCGGAAGTATAGTAGCTTTGGAAGTACTGAACCCTAAAAGTATGAGTAATGAAAATAATAGATAACCAATGACAGCTAAATATAGAAAACTACATCTCTGGTTAGTAGGTGCGATACCCTCCAAATGAAAAGGGATCTACACACCTCTAGGCCGGTCATGCTGAGCACGTGTGTATCTGACAATGTCATGAGTTTTGCTCCAACCATCACTCTTTGTTTGACAATCAAAATGATACTCAAGTGCAAATACACTCCCGAAACGAAAATGCTTGATGGTTATGCCGCATTGCATTTCGTTGTCTTTGCTTGTATAGTGTGTGGCCTTTAGAGTTATGTTGCAACGGTTTCTGAAAGGTTTGACTCCAGGTGACAATTTAGACACGTACATCATCGGTGACAGAAAAGGCACTTTTTCACCCCTGTCTCAAGCTGTAGTGGCTGGCACACACATATAAGTATGTGAAATGCTGTATTATAGTAGATACGTACCCATTTATGATAGTCACAGTCATTATTTTGGCACATTTATGTCGTTAAAGGGAGTGTTCCATATTAATAGGGGGTTTTGAACTGAAATCACCTTGAAGATCTTTTAGAGCTATCCACAATCCTGCCCTTCTTAATCTCCCTCTTGTTTCTGAGTTACACGCCCGCGAAAACGTGGAAAGATGCATCAGATATAGTATTTTAAATTCACCTTCGCATTCATGATGTCATTGTAACGTCATTCAAGTTTTATGATTCCATAAGCTATGCGACCGTCGAGGTAAATATATTTATAATGATCAAGCTACTCATATCTGGCGTTCGTGAGCAAAAATTTCCAGATACAACGGCCGACAATGGACTTTTAATTAACGTTGTTGCGAAGTACGATGACGTAACCAAACAATAACACGTCTAGGAGCATATTTAGTAAACACAGAAATTGTATTGTCCAGAGCAACCTTTCTCCTTGAAAGTATACCAATAGTTAAAGTTACCTTGTTTTATCAAATGTGATGCTTGCTTCATTATCTTCAAATCTGAAATATTCCCATTAAAAGTCTTGCATTGCATGCCTGTGAATCAAACGGAGTTGAGGCACCCGGCCAATGCAACTTGCAAGGTGCTCTCACTACCATTCGCCGGTCCATGCTTTGCCCGCGCTTGAGAGATGAGGTCCAGTCCGACCAAAAGCGAATGTTGGTGATCTCTGGCCGAAATAAGCGGCTCATCACGGAAATAAGCGGCTCATCATCACACCCTACCGACGCCAGAAGCCCTCTGATTGGCATCCAAGTGCCTCGGGCCTTGCGGACTAGAGACCCTTTAAGGGAGCGTGCCTAGGAAAATTAGGATTTTTAATTGCGCACGTAGTATTGTGGAGCAGTTCTAATTTACGGCGAGTGATGTCCTCTGTTTTTGCAAATTCATTTTTATTGCCCAAATATTTTAAGTGTTCCAAATTATTGCTGGTGGTGCAAAGTTATCGGTGACCTAAAACGTTTTTCACCGCTAACCCATCGCTCATATTATGAACACATCGCTGGCGTCTGTAGATGATCTTCCGATAAGGGAGCTCGTCAGCTCTGGCAGCATATTCAAACAACCTGACTGCGGCCAGTGTGGAAACGCGCACTTGTTTACAGCTTTAAGGAAGGATTGAGAAGTGGCATTAGTACCACAGATGTAATACTTGTTCGGACTGTGTCCTCTGGTGTGTATGTTTGTGTAATCTAACACACCAGACGAGGGCAATAGTCGAAACAATCATCCCATCGGAAGGCACTGTCTTACATCGAATTTGAAATGCTCGCCGCGCTCCGCCGGCAGCTAATCTTGTAGAACTATCCAGAACGCGTAATTTTTCGGCATAGCATTTGGCACTGCGAACACGCAGAATTATCGTGGATCATTTGCCAGACCGAGGGTAAATGTCTAGTGGAAAATTTCAGGAGATGCCGCGCGTAAGTGAGAAAAAATCCGTCGACCATTATCAGGAAGACAAAGGTTTGCTGAATATTTTTATCGTGGCCGATTGCTCCACCCCCCCCCCTCCCGTACAAGATTCCTTCTAGTTTAAGGGGTCGTATCAGCGCGTTGAGTTTAGTTCTATCTATTCACAAGTTCTAATTGGCCATTAGGGTATCCCCGCTTCTCGTAAATAGCCATTACTGGTCATTGGTTAAGAACTCAGTACAGGCCTCAGTTTGGTCCATTTGGCTCATGAAAGCATGGTTGGCGTAAATGATTGCTTTGAATTCTAGAAATTATGGCAAGTTAAACCAGTTAGGTGTGACACTCAACCTTCATAGTGTATGTTAATTGTACGATGCATGCCACACAATTTCATATCAGGCAATGCGCTATATTTGAATATTTCACTATTGCCTTGGCTTACCTGTCTGGGCACTATCGCAGACATACATAAAAAACTGACCACACGCGGGACATCCTCAGTTAATATCAAGTAACAGCTGTGTTGTGCATCAACATACTTTGTAATGTTAATGAGCGCCATTTTGTCGATAACCTCGTTTGGTGTGACTTAAATTGTTTCCCCTTATACTCTTGTGTGCATTTGTACTCTGGGAGTGTAATACAAATCTCAGAGATAGGCAAGAGGGATGGAATTTGAGCAGGACCTTAGGCACCAATTATCCATTATGCAGCTTTCTAATGCAAAAGGCTAGCTTTTGGAGCTTGTTTGTTCGATGTAGCCAAGGGTACAACGTTTGCATTTTCTCCATGCCAAAAACTTTCCAAGAAGTATTTTCTAGGCAGCATCGTCGCATAGGCCACAGGTCTTTCGGGTGTTCTAAGTCTTGCGGATAATTCGGACAAGTCTTTCAGATGTCTAAATTTCAGGGCAACTATGCAGTACCAGCTCGCCGTCATTGCACTTATCGTTATAACGTCAACCGTCCTGTTATCAAGCACGACTGCTTCTCAAACGGGGTATATATTCACCAATCGTGGCGCGGGCCCGAACTTCGGGAGGAAAGTGGGTCCAACTCTGAGAGGCACGTTTTTGTGCACTTGTTCGGTAAATTTTTGCCAATTTTCCCTACAAAGCTCCCCCGTCCCCCGAAATTATTGTGAGGAATTGCCTGTCACCCCTGCATCAGATATAATTGTCGGGTAATTGTAGAAATAGCAAACAAATGCCACTGTCGAGTCATTCATATCTGGCATTCGTGAGCGCAATTTCAAGATAAAGCGGACGCACATTGGCTGTCAGTCAATGCTGTCCAAGGAACGATGACGTAATCAAACAGTGACGCATTGGTGAGCATACGTGCTCTACAGAGAAAATTGTTGTCTAGGGCAATCATTTCCACTTAAAGGTATGCCACTAGTTACAATTGAGCTTAATTCGTTATATCTGATCCTTGCTTTAATATCTTCAAATGTGGGACATACCATTTAAGCACCCAGCACAGTGCCTAGTCCTACCTCTAGCCGCGCGGGATACGACCGGCTTTAGACGACCACCGTCACGATAAGTTTCATACATCAGACGCAACCAAACGATGTACCAGCGCCCACAGGCTGCTGCCTGTAACCCAGCTGGCTGCATTACACCCACGAACAGCATAATGTATGAATTTTGCAAGATATGATAAACATTCCTGATATATATATATATATATATATATATATATATATATATATATATATATATAGACATAGATATAGATAGATAGATAGATAGATATATATATATGGATATAGATATAGATATAGATAGATAGATAGATAGATAGATAGATAGATAGATATATATATATATATATATATATATATATATATATATATATATATATATATATATATATATATATATATATATATATATATATATATATATATATGCATACAAATAAATATAGACAGATATATAGAAATAACTTATTACAAGATCGCTGGTAATCGATATCTAAATTGTCAGTCAGTGATCGTATTTACTCTGTTTTCCCATCTTACCCCGTTGAGAAGAGTTGACGGCAGCGGGACTCGACCTCACATCTGGACATCGTAGCGCGTGCACGCGTCTACGGTAGCCTAAAAGCTTGTCTCAAAATGGAGTGTGATGGTGTACACTCCTGATCCCGTAAATTGAAAGAAAATTGCCTAAGTTATATTGTTTTGCCCTTTTATGCGTGCATATGTTCAAGATTTAGAAAGGCAGCGGCTTGAAAAAAGATTCAACGGACTAGTGCTGAAAGGTGCACCGTTGCTGCCATATTTTATATTGGAGATTGGGGCCCGAACCTTGCACCGGTCCTTTTCAGCGGTGGCAGGCGTTCTTGGCCGGCCGCGATTAACTTGTTATAGATGACGATGTTATCGCGAACAACTGTCGGCATTGCAGCCGTGTGTGGTACCCTGTTTATGGGGTACTGCATTTATTTTGACAGGAAGAGAAGAAGTGCACCAGATTTCAAGAAGAAGCTTCGTGAGAAGCGTGAGTAGGCTGCGCCGGAATTGTGCTAATTTTGCCTGTTGCGTCAGCACGTTTGTATTCTACGTCACCATGTGCTTTGTCATGCCGGCACTGACATCCATTATAAGCCATGATGTGTATTTGTGATGTTTTTTTAGACAGGTTGCGTTGAAAGTTGGCTGAACGTTTTGCTTGAGTGGCTTTGTTATCGATTAATTGGTTGCATTATATTTCTGTAGGACTGGGTCCACCATCTTAGTCAAGCAACTCTAGCCTAGCAGGAATACTTATCATTATTAGGTGTGTTTCATGCCCATGCTGTGTCATGTCAGGATGCAAATGCTGCAATGCCACCATTTTCATCTGACATGGAGTGACATGTTACCTATTAACCTGCTTGAGCAGAAACTGTCATAGGCTTGGCTAGTAGTATTGAATCTCATCCCAGATTTGATACCATTTGACCTGGAATTAGACTGGAATTCAATGTATTGCCTGCTCAGATAAAGCTGATTGGAAATTACATGCATGTTACCAACTCATAATTGATGATATTCCAATGAAGAATTCATTGATAATCTGTATCATGTGAATATGGTCAGCTTGCCACTGCATGACATTGATGGACTGTGTGCACTGTTTATGAGCATATAGTGGGAAGATTTAGAAGGTTAGCATTGTCAAAGCCCCTAGGTGTTATTCTTCACAATGCAGGGATGTCAGCTACATTGCTTAGAACTTGCTAATATTCTTGCTAATATAAAATATTGCCTATAAGATATAAATGGATGCATTCATCAAAACATGCATGGTTAGATTTATGCACCAAGTAGATATGTTCCTTTGGCTGCATAAAAGTGCATGGAAATATCTATATGTAGCTGTCACTTAATAATCTAACATAAATTCACTTATTACCTTCATAAGATGCATATCCAGTTTGGTGTGTTCATATGGTGCATGTGTCAATCAATTGCTTGCACAACTTGCAACAACAAAATTGTTATGCATTGTGATGATGATGATTTGGGGTTTTAGGGCGCATCGACTGCTAAAGGTCATGCAGCGCCCAAATGTTATGCATCAGTTTTGGCTATTTGCATGGTGACTTCATTGGTACAGCATGGTTGTGAGATGCAGAAGACACTCCATTAATTGGAAATTTGGCATAATCAAGGTTAATTTGTGTGTATGCTCTGAACAGCAAATTATTGTGGTGCTTGTGACATATTTTTATTGTGCAACACTGTCCAACTGTGTCAGTCAGTGTAAAGTACATGTAAGTGCCAATAGTGTAGTGGTTAACACATCTGCATTAACCACTACACATCTGGGAAGCCAGAGGTACATGGTTCTTTTCCCTGTGGTGCCCGCGCTTCCTGCCAGGGTGAGAGGCGGGTGGTGCCATATAGCCTCAGCAGCTGAGTGCGTCATAAGCCCAAATGACACACACACACACACCCTGTTGGTGCATGGCCTAAGCCCCTTAGGGATGTGGGATAAAGCTCACTTAATAATGAGGGGCCCTGTTCTTGGGTTTATTGTTATTTTACCATGTGACCAGAACAGAAACATAACCATAGGTCCCTGTGAGATCAATTCCATTTGTATTTGAAGTCACTAAATTACAGAAATCAGGCATTGAACAGCTACATGGGATAAATCACTGGCTTTCATTATTTTACAAATGTTCATTGGGCTGTTCCAAACCCAATAGTACTCAGAAGCTTTGCCAGATTTGTTTGTGTTCTTCAGATATATTGAGTCCAAAATTACATTGCCTTGGCTAGCTCTTGTTAGTTTTGAAATGTTCCACATCAGCTCAGAATCAATCACCAGTAAGAATTTTGTAACATGGTTTTGAACATGCATGCTTGCAGGCCTTGCAACAGCTTTGGCACCCGGCGTTGCAGTCTTCATACGCCACGCGACGTCAGCCCTGCGGCTGGCATTAAGCGGTGGCCAACGGACAGACGATGAAAACGAAACATCTGAAGAAAACATTTTTGAATGCTTTGGGACATTGATTTGCACGTTTGGAAAGAAGACCGGGTATATTTGACCTGTGAGATTTTAAGATTGAAAATACGGAATTACTAGCCTTTGTAGCACCGCGACGCGGTGCTGTAGTCAGGTGGTTGAGCTGAAAGAGTCAAGGTGGAATCTCTATTTTCATGTTGTTTTTAATGTTAATTTGACCAGTGGATATCCTTATACTTGTTGAGAACATGCACCCAGTCTAAACTTTGCATGGGTCAAATATATTTTGAAAGACTCAGAAGCAGTGTTGAAAATTCGAAAGATTTTCCTGGTAGCAGAATACAAATTTTCTATAGGGGAGTACAAAATTATCCAAGTGCTGCAGGCCATTACAGCTTTAGTTAGGTTATCTTTGAGAGATAATAGTGCAATGGGTGGCACTCAACAAAAGCGCCTCTTTCCATGTACAGCAATTCATGTAAAAACACTTTAAATGAAAGAAAATATCAGTATTTAACATGGCACACTGAAACAACACAGTCTCATACTCTGTTCTATGAAACACATGTGCATATACATTGGTTTGCAATTTGTGAAAGGCTCTGTGTATGCAACTTCCAAAACAGAGGGCAATCAAGCATTGGGCTTATACACTCTCCAAAATGGAGAGTGGCTACACACCGGGCTTATACACCCTCCAGAACGGAAAGTGGGCACGATACGCGCAGCCAGACAAAAATGGTACACAAAAAATGCAAATGAACTCTAGGGCATAGGAAGTGAGAGCTTTGCTAATCTACAGACCGGTGTGATCCGGTACTCGTTTCTCATTTCTCGGTGTGGTTCAAAGGCGATTCCATTCAACATTAACACTTTTTCACATTTCCATACACGGTTTATCATATACCTAGCTTGCAACGCAAGCTGCTTGCTATTGGGCATCTTAGTCTGGTGGGTGCAAGATTTGTGCTCTTACAGATATCAATACTCGGCTCCTGATGGAAGAAGCAAGTCACAAGCCGTTGCACGTTCTGGTTTTATTTTGTCCTGACACAAAGAGGTAAAATCAGTTTTCCAAAAGCTGTTCTTGTTGCATCACGATGGAGTACAAAATATTTCATTTTATCTAGTCACAATTCTGGAGTACAAAATCTCCTGGTATACGTTATGCCCGGAAACATGAAGTTTTTCAACACTGCTCGAAAACATTTTTACACGCCGGTCGTTCTCGCGCGCCGGGTGCCCGCCCCCTGGTGTTTCGTGCTAGCGGCCATCGCCGCTCGTTTTTACGAAACTGCGACCCGATCATCGCTCTTAGTCCTAATATTGCGAGCGTGCAGGCTACACTGTTATATGTTATTTGTTTCACTTGCCGATTTCGCAGGAGAATAGACGTTCCCCAGCGAACATGGGGTAGCCCTTTTTCATTTTGCCCCGATTTCGATCCACTTTATTGGAGACTTCTGAGACCCCCTGATGCTTTCCAGGCAAGGGCCCGTGAGACACATCACCGTTTGCGTAGCATTATGGGCCGTTTTTGCCGTTTTCACCAGCCGTTTTTGGAGGCTAATGCTTTGCAAATTTGTGCGCGAATGCCACAGTGGTGAACCTTCGTCTGCTAAATTATGGGACGTAGACCTGGCAATGTATTGATGCCAGATTTGATTGTGTCAATTACCCTAGCTGCCCGACTTCATTAGCGTAATTTTTGACAGATTTTAGTGGAGTAGAATCCGTTCTGACTCTTGGAACAACTGACAGCTCGTACACATCTGCTATCGTTTCGCTAGCATCACGCCATACAAGGCGTCTTACTGGTTGCATCACGCGCACACGCGCACGCACGCACGCACGCGCACGCACGCACGCACGCGCACGCACGCACGCGCGCGCACGCACGCACGCGCACGCACGCGCACGCACGCACGCACGCGCACGCACGCGCACGCACGCGCGCACGCACGCGCACGCACGCGCGCACGCACGCACGCACGCGCACGCACGCATGCACACACACGCACGCATGCACACACGCGCACGCATGCACACACGCGCACGCATGCACACACGCGCACGCATGCACACACACGCACACGCGCGCACACGCACACGCGCGCACACGCACACGCGCGCACACGCACACGCGCGCACACGCACACGCGCGCACACGCACACGCGCGCACACGCACACGCACGCACACGCACGCACACGCACACGCACGCACACGCACACGCACGCACGCACGCACGCACACGCACAGCACGCACGCACGCACGCACGCACGCACGCACGCACGCACGCGCGCGCGCACGCACACACACACACACACACACACACACACACACACACACACACACACACACACACACACACACACACACACACACACACACACACACACACACACACACACACACACACACACACACACACACACACACACACACACACACACACACACACACACACACACACACACACACACACACACACACACACACACACACACACACACACACACACACACACACACACACACACACACACACACACACACACACACACACACACACACACACACACACACACACACACACACACACACACACACACACACACACACACACACACACACCTGATGCAAGGTATACAAAAGTTAGAAAATGTCTCTAAATATCCACACACTGCACCACTTCGGCAGTGTTAAAGGAGCCATATTCCCGTGGCCTAAACAATTTTTGCCCTCAGGGTTTTGGGTAAAAGAAGATTGTTCGAACTTAAAGTACTGTGCGTTGTTTCCTCTATCATTGTCTTTGTAGTGTCGTGCGAGTGTCAGTGCCAAGTATTCCACGTGACCCCGTCTGTGTGCACGCACAAGCTGCGATGCATGCAAGCTCACCGAATCTGTGCGTGTATGCTGACATTGGGGGTGGTCATGCAGGTCGGAAGCAGGGCAGCCGGTCGGCGCCAGGCGGCTCCTCGCAGCTGCCCGACCTGCGCTCCCAGGAGGCCGTGCAAAGCTTTTTCATGCAGGAGGTACAGCTGGGTGAGGAGCTGCTGGCGCAGGGCGAGCTGGAGGCCGGCGTGGAGCACCTCTGCAACGCGGTGGCCGTGTGTCACCAGCCACAGCAGCTGCTGCAGGTGCTACAGCAGACGGTGCCACCGCAGGTGTTCCAGCTTCTGCTGCAGCGGCTGCCGCTGGCTGGACAGGTAAGTGGAGCGTTGGGTCACGCTCGGGAGACTGTGTCAGTGTCAGTGATGGCCTGTCCCGTGGGGTAGCTGAACATGTGAGAGTTGTCGGGTGGAGACAAGATTGAGGAAAACCGAAGATATGCAAGTTCTGTGGCGACGGGGCGGCAAGTTATGGGCCTTATGTACACGTCGTCGCGTGCCTTTTGTAAATTTTACAAGGGTGGTACAGCATAGGCATGAGTGAAAAAAACAAGCTCATCCTGGTTGCATTGACCAGTTCTGCCAGTTGTTCCACGCTAGATAGAGCGGTACCGTGCATTACGCCGATTACAGCGCCTCTCGCGGCCGGGTACAGCGCCTCTGATGACAATGAATGCAACCTTCGCATAACGGTATCACCTACATGTATTATATTACCAACAGTGCCTCAGTGGGGCAGAGCAAACATGACAATAAGTGGTTTTCTCGGGTGCTATGTCCAGCATATTACAAATGGAATGGAGGTATTGCACCATCAGCCAACAGTGAGTCCTCGTCCCAGCTGCACCTTCCTAAGACTTCTTTGCTGTTGTGATGTAGTGGTTCAGACTGACACGTTATGGTGGCCCTGGCACATCCTTCGCGATTGTAGCCCTGACTTAATCGTCTACGAAGTACCGTTAGCTCCGGATGCCCGGGTCGCCAGCAGTGTGGTCTCGCCTCGCCCTGTGCGCGTCTCCTGTCGCATTCGCCTGGTGACTCTGACCCTGCCCACTCCCCAGCGCCTGGTGACACTGACCCGGCCCTCTCCTCAGCGCCTGGTTCCCCAGCGCCTGGTGACACTGACCCTGCCCTCTCAGCGCCTGGCGACACTGACCCTGCCCTCTCAGCACCTGGTGACACTGACCCTGCCCTCTCCCCAGCGCCTGGTGACACTGACCCTGCCCTTCTCAGCGCCTGGTGACACTGACCCTGCCTATCCTCAGCACTGGGACAACTGACCCTGCCCTCTCTCAGCGCTGGTGACCTCTGACCCTGCCCTCTCCTCAGCACCTGGTGACACTGACCCTGCCCTCTCCTCAGCACCTGGTGACACTGACCCTGCCCTCTCCCAGCAGCCTGGTGACTCTGACCCTGCCCTATCCTCAGCCTGGTGACACTGACCCTGCCCTCTCCTCAGAGCCATGGTGACACTGACCCTGCCCTCTCTCAGCCTGGGACACTGACCCTGCCCTCCTCAGCGCCTGGTGACACTGCCTCAGCGCCTGGTGACACTGACCCTGCCCTCTCCCCAGCGCCTGGTGACTGACCCTGCCCTCTCCCCAGCGCCTGGTGACACTGACCCTGCCCTCTCCCCAGCGCCTGGCCGCCTCGGCAGCCGCCAAGGAGGCGGCCATCACCGAGGACGATGTGGAGTGAGGGCCGGCAGCGTCCGTCTGGCCCTGCACCGGGGCCAGGCGCAGCGGCTGGCGACGTGACGACGCCAGCAGCTGGCGCCAGGACCGGCCGAGCCTGGCCCCGTGCGAGTGCGCGCGCAAGTGTCTGCGGATGACGGCGCGAGGATGAAAGTGGGCGACTGTGGTCTTGTGAGGCGCCGGCGACTGCATGGGTGTGGGACTGAGTAGCTGACTGAGAGCGTTTTCTAACGAGTGTGCTTCGGTTGCCTAGTCATGTGGGGTTGTATCGAATTCGTCACAGGCATTACATAGAGTTTTACATGTCGTTGTTTCTTCACGGACCTGAGATGGGAGGTGGCGGGCGTTGCTGGATGGTTGGACCGCCCAACACTGGCTGCAGCGGTCAGCATGGTGGCGCCTCCAGCCGGCCGCGCTCTGTCGCGGACCGCACGTCCAGATGGAGCCACCAGCGGACCCCTGAACCGAGCATGCAGATAGAGCCACCGGTGGACTCGTACACCATGTCCAGATGGAGCCACCATCGGGCGGGCACACGAAAACGCCGTTCGCATGAATGCTGATCGTGGATGGTAAGTTGTAGTTTGTGCCCAATGGCACACAACGAAGATAAACCGGACAAAGCTTCGCTTGATTTTTGAAGTTCCGTCAAAATCGAACGAAAAAAGCAGTCTCGATACTCCGTGGTACAATCTTGCGACGTGGCCTGGTTGGGACCACTACTGGGTCAGCACCAAGCTTGTACCGTCTCGAACCGGTACGGCCTGCGGAAGCCGAAGGAGCCGGCGCGCCTTGCGGACGTGCGGCCAATGGGAGGTGGCGTTATCACGATGTCGGGCCAAGCTCTGGCATGGCACGGTCGAGGCAATAATGCGTTTTGATCGATGGGGGGACAGTAACGACGCCGCCATTTGGAATGGGATGAAAAAGGCCGAGTCAGGCTTTGTTTGGGTGCCTTTAAACTGGAGTTCGACCATGCCAACATTGTTGCAGTTATTTCCCAAAACGGGACGGTAACGCTGGAGCAGCGACCTTATTTGCAGCGGTGTTGGATCACTGTACATTTCGAACACCTACCCAAACTGATGGCTTTCTTGGCTATCTATGGAGAAGATTTGATTAGTTCTGTTATTGCCAGGAACAAGCATGACCGTTGCTTGTAATGAGACCGAAATGGCAGAGGCAGAAACGCCAGGAAGGTAGAAAATCCCAGCACATTTTAAGAGAGTGTGACGGCTCATAACAGCTGATACCGCGTCAGCAGGTACGGTTCACTGGTTCCGCCCGGACGCCTGGGCGCCCTGGTGGTGGCGTTCGCAGTGAGCTCCCGGGCGGCAAAGGGCCGCCAGCCGTGATCCCATTACGGCGCGGTCAGCGGTGTGGCGAGCACGGCTTCTGACGGCTGAACGACGCGCTGTCGAGAGACGGCTCGAAGGATAGTCCGCAAGCTGTACCATCGGGACTTCTAGCGGCCGAACGACGCGCTGTCGAGAGACGGCTCGAAGGATAGTCCGCAATCTGTATCATCCGGACTTCTAGCGGCCGAACGACACGTTGTCTTACGACAACTCGAAGGATGATCCGCAAGCTGTACCATCGGCAGGTCCTCTGTGCAAGCCGCGGGCCTATCACAGGTGATGGAGCTGCCCGACGTCATGCATCGGGGTCCAGCTCCGTTGACACCCGTTTCGGCGAACTATTCTTGCTGTTACCGGACGGCGCATCCCAGTCATTGTCGATCTCGGGTCGACAAGCGGCTGAAATAGCCAACGGGGCCGACACACCTGTGATACATTGCTGCGGTGACTGATGCCAGAACAGCGGAACGTACGCCAACTATGATGATGCCAACTATAGGATGATTTTGATGCCACTTATGTCATGTGATGCGGTTTATCACTGGATCCCCTCATGCAAAAACCCCTGCAGCTGGAATTTCCTGCGCAACCCACTCATCCCGTGAGAGTTCATAGCAAGCATTTTAAGTTCATTGCTTGAATGGTCTCAATATCAGGAATCTGACTGACGACACTCCGGTGTGGAGTAGCGGAGCTGAATAACAAAGCAAGCTTTGTTGATGATAGGATACCTGCAGGGGTGCAGTTTCCGATTCTGTGGGGGGGGGGGGGGCTGAAGGTCCCCAACTTGGGCTTCAGCCCCCCCCCCCCTCCCAACTTGGAGAAGAAAGTGAGCTAAATCCCGTGACCTCCTTGTTGACAGTTGTTGGGGCCGTGTTTGGGCATCTTTCAGCTGTTCAGTCCCTCCAACTCATTTTTCAAAAGGAAGCCCCGGGGACCTGCTCATGGCAAAATACGCCAGCCCTGATACATGTAAGGAACCCTCGCTGACGCTGTGGTCTTGGCATGAAAGTAGTAAACCCAAAGCGTTTCTCGGCACTTCAACCCGTTGTGGAGCTCTGATGGAACATTTTTTAGCTGAGCTTACATTTGACATTAAGGCGTTTACGGTATTTTTTAATTGTAAGTGCGGGTCCCAGATAGCAGTAAATGTTTCATAGTACGTCCAACAGCGTGTTCAGTATGAATACCAAAATCATCCGTTAGTTCAGTAGCGTTGCCAAGATTTCACTCAGCAAGGGGCCCAATCTGGTCAGAGAAACCCTTCCAGCCAGGGACCTTCTGTGTCACCTTGGGGAATCCAGCTTTATTTGGGTGGTATTTTTAGGCTCGGGGTCGTACTTCAATGCCTCGGGTCCGATTTTGTTTTGTTTTTTGTTTTGTTTTTGTTTTAGAATGTCTTTGTCACCTTAAGCTGCCAAAAATACGGAGGTCTTTGACACCAGGAGGCTCCTGCCACCTCCGGAAGAAGCAAATGCAAACCTCCCTCCCTCAAACCCCACCCCACTCTCCTGGGTATGCCACCACAGCTCACCACCGTGGAGTAGAGCGCATGAATCGCACCATGCCACAGTCTGAAGACGGTGGGCGTGGGGCAGAAGACGGTAAACCAGTCTTAAATGAATGATTCTCTCCCCAGCGACTGTACGGGGAATTTGACGCCTGTAAATCCTGAACGGTGGCTGCAGTGCGCGTTCTACTGCGTCCTCAGTCGAGTGTCTAGAGGGCCTGCCCCGCGCCGGCGGCGCCGGCGGCCGCCTGCCTCCGAGACGCATGGTTATGGGGAAGCGGCCGCCTGTCTCCGAGACGCATGGTTATGGGGAAGCGACCGCCTGTCGCGCGCAGCCTGCCACAGCAGCTGGCGGTGCTAATTCCCGCCGGCTTTTTGCCACTTATAAGCGCGACCATCGCCACGGAGGAAATGTATGAGACGACTAAACTTAACGACTCGAAGTGGGGCCTCTGCCCGAAATGTGCTGCGCGGGGCGTTCAGAGGAGCCAAGCAATAAGACGAGGCAGAGCGATGCTGTCTATTGGTCTAGCGTCATTGTGCTGTTGTCCGTCCTTACCATAACCATAATATATATATATATATATATATATATATATATATATATATCATATTGATATACGACCCATGCGAACATGATGCAACCCATCATAATCGTTTTGGCACCTGTAATTAGTGGCCACTAGCACTCTAGATACCACGCTGAAATAACTCTGGGGAGTTTTCCTTGCCCCGTAATCATAGGTACTTTCTCGAAGAAGGAGCGGGTCAGTTTTCCTCCTTCTCGACCTCCAATCTGGAACCCCTCCCTTGAGATCGGTGCTGGCTCAGGAGTTTGTTCTGGTTGAGAAGGCATCGGTACGAGAGAGTGGCGGAAAGCGTAACGAGCGGTGTGTTGCCGCATTCACGGAACAGAGGTACGTGTGACACCTTGTGCAGCGTGGGACCAACCAAGTGGTAACAGACGTGGAAGGTATCAGATTAACGGCATGATCTTACCAAAAGATCAGATGACGAAGCCAAACGCCCTTGGGAACACCCACAAATGAGCCTGATCAATGCGTTGTAAAGTTCACCCTTTATGAGAGCTTGGCAGGCAAACGATTGAAAGCATTCGTGACATTTTTGATTAAATAACACTCGTGCGCTAATTGAAATAGCACATGGGTTCACATTTGCCGCCTTGGCCTGCCTAGTTTCGACAATTTAAGTGAATGCAATCGCTGTGTACATAATTATCTACATAGCTGGTTAAAATATCTCGTGTGCATATCGACGGCATCCACACGTGAAACTTTAACCTTCTGGTGTTTTGACATCTTCAGGACCTGTTAGATAACACTAGATGCATGGTATGATTGAAACATCTCGTGCAAGGATTTCGGCGTACGTTTGTACCTATATAATACGAAGTATTCATTTGTCCATCTTCCATAAGCCTGGGTCTTGCTGCAAGTTCATGAGGCATTTCGGCTCAAAGGAAGTGTGTCTAGCCAAGTTAGAATTTTTGACTGTGCGTATAGGATGGAAAGAAATGTCGATTCACAGATTTGGGCGTCATTGGTTTCTACAAATTTGCCCCTGCTGATGAGCTACTGCTGCAACCTCCAAATTGTCTTTAGTTTGTATGAAGGAACGAAGTTATCAGGCAGCCCCCAAGCACTATTGACTACTAAACACATCGACATCATTGAGGAGGTATCGTTAGCTCTAGCCAACGGCTTTTCGAGGATGCCGCTTGTCAGCGCTGACAGCAGGTTGCGAACGCGGCGATGGTGGCGGCCATTATGCCGATGTTTTTTTTCTTCTTGGTTACATTCAGCTGAGGGCTGCGGGTGTATGAGTTTAGACGCATGGTGAGGATGGTCAGTTGATACGCACCAACTCATGTTGGCCTACTATACACTGGGATGAGGAACAAGTATTGTGTCATGTCAATCGGCTGCACCAGGTTCTAGGGAAATGTGATTGTTTTACGTTGCTTAGCAATTAAAATAATGACCATGTCTCTAGCGCACTGTTACTCGCCACATATAAGCCAGTGCATTCGTGCTTTCCTACCCGCTGATTGGTTTATCTTTAAGGATTGTGCTCGTTTACCCACAGCCATCGATGGGATCGATAAAAAGAAGCAAAGAAAAACTGCCGCAAGACCCAACGGTGCATTTAGCAAAAAATTAACCATAGATCATTGCCAAACTCCCCTTAGGCGTTAACAGAGAAAACCAAAAACATTATACACACTCCTTAAACCGCCGCGAATAGCAGCGCTCAAACAGCAACGTGACTTGGAGTTGGAGCTGATTCACTATGACTGATAAAAAATTGGACTGCTTGGAACAGTAGGATCTAGTCCCTGTGTCATTGAGAGCGTGTCGCAGTATCTACAGTCAGGGAAGATGTCCTGAAACGTGACTTTGTTCGCAATTCATATT